ACAATGGAGAGCAACATGTAAGGGAGCCAGGGTGTAGTAAGTGCTCTTTTTATTGTTTTGTTCTTTTGTCCCTTCAAATCTGTCTCACTAGTGCTGTTCCATGTTTATTAAATATAAGCAGGGATGTTTTGCCTTATTAGATCAGACCTGTAACCTCTGCTGATCTCTGTTTTGGAAAAGACTGAGTTGTCTCCATTATTTAGCATCTTAGCATGTCAGACCTGCAGCAGCTGTGTTTCTTTTCAGTTGCTCCACTTCTCCAGTCTCTAGCATCTCAAAGTTTCCTGTAAACTCAGAGAGCAATGTTGAAAGGTTGTAGAAAGGTTTGTTTTTGCAGTAATCTCTTCATAAATTAGCCACCAGGTCCACTTAGCATTTGATCGATCTGCAGATTCTGGTCCTTGGCTTGTGGCCTTTCATTATGGTGTCTCCTCAATCTGAGACTCCCTCCGGGAGGGATTCACAGAGAACAGAAGTGTCTGTGAGTTGAATCCGTTGTCCCCCCCAAGCACAGTGAGGAGCAGGGTCACACGCCCCTGTAGAAGTATATCTAGGATTTACAGCATTTTGGAGATTGCTGATGCACAGCAAACTGCATCTTCCTCAATCAATGATCCAATGTTAATTTTGGACATTGGTCTCCAGTGTCCAAAATTAATATCAAGGTTTTTGGCTCAACACATTTCATTGCACATAGTTTTTATGTATAGTCTTCTCCATCGAACTTTTCTACCTTATGTTTATTCTTTATATTTTTATTCTGAAAATGTTTTAAAGAAATGTCCTGACAGCATTTATTCATTCGAGGGAGTCCGACTTCCCTTGGTTTTGCGACTGAGAAAGTACAGAGGTCTTCAAGCATTTCTGAATTTAGTAACAAATATTCCTGCTGTTTGGGGTTTAAGAACATGGTTACAGATGGTTGGAAGGATAAATGGTTTGATGGTTTATAAAATTATTTAACAACTTGGATGTGTTCAGTGTTGTCATTTAGGAAATTCCAAAGTCCTACAGTTTATACTGTGGTCCATACAGCCTAGGATTAATAACAAATGAGATCCAGGTGTCGTATTTTAGAAATTCAAGCAGAATACAGAAGCCGTGTTTGAATAGCTCAGAACTTGTATTTAATACCCCTCTTATGACCTTTTCATTCCTTCTTTTTTTCTTAGACTAAAACATGTTGCTTTTCTGTATTTACCTTTTAAACTGTCTGATTTACAGACGTTACCTTTCGAAGAACTCTTGCATCCATATGTAAGGGTTTCTTTGCTCTATGCTGATAAATTAGTTCCTACTAAAAGCCTTTGTACGTCAGTCACATCCCACAAGAGACATTTTATACAGTCAATAAGCATGTTGAGCTCTTAAGCTTTTATCTTTAAGCTTTGAACTTTGCTATGCTGCAATGCATCACCAACGGCTGTTCAAGAGGATGTGAATAATGGCGTTAAGATATGAGTAATGGTTGATAGTCAAATGTTATAAGATTAGATGTTTAGAGCAGCACATGCATCACAGTTTAAGTCAAGACAAACTTAAAAAATGAACTTTGACTTTGCAGTAAATTCTGCTTTAAATGCTAAACTTTAAAGTATATGTACAGTTAAAGAAGGAGCCATAAGTTTTTACTGCTTCTTAAATATTTTCCTATGATTTTTGTGTGTTTTAAAATCTGTTTTCAACAACAAATAAAATGAAACCACAACAAAGTATTTAGTTATATATTAAATATGTTGAATTTTTAATTATAATAGTCACTCATTATAGGCATTTACAAGAAGTCAGTTATTTTGATCTGGATCCATACACTGACAGTCTCAGTAATAATCAGGCTATCTAAAGATCACATATTCACATGTGAATCGTGTATCCTTCACCCTGTATCATACTGCACATGAATCGCTTTTCACTTTTTCTTTATCCCCATTTTTGGACATCCGCACATCCAAGTCAGCAGTATGTTTCTGAACTGCTAGGCTCGCTGGGGGGAAGTGCTCTGGAGCTCATCAAATATTAATAAGATGGTATCTTTAGATACTTGCTCGTTTATGTCAGCACAGGCAAAGCCAGTTGTATCTTTTTTCTTATGTTTCACCGCACTATCATCTTTCTTCGCATCTCATCTTTTCTCCTTCTTACAAAATATTTAGCACAATTTCTGTATTAGTACCATTTTCAAGCAGTCTGGTATTCATAAATGTTCTTCTTGCTCATCTTATCCCCTCAATGTATCTACTTATCATCAGTGTCCTCCATCTAAAATAAGATGCTTCCTCCCAAGTTATTATCTCCCAATTTTCTGCACGTTAACTGGATATTGATTTAATGATTAAACAATTCCTCATGGATGAGATATCTTTATCCAGGTAGTAAGAAAACATGTATGTTTAACTTTATTCTATTATATAAGATACAAATATATTTCTGCTTTCCCTTGTGTCTGTTCAGTTAGCATCCTTTTAGTTTTGCATGTTTTTAAAATTGCACTGTTTTCCTCCATATTTGTAATTTGCAGAACTAAATCATTCTCCAAATGCACCTATCTAACAAATGTCTTCCTTTACTGATAAAACTGGAGCATCAATAAAGGCATCTTTCATTAGAGTAGACTTTAATCAGTACTTATAAATAGAAAATTTGCAAGATTTTTGATTCAAATGAATTAATTTCCTACAGCTTTAGGGTAGAACATTGTGACCATGTTGACTGTAAGGACAAGCAAATGTTGGAGGAAGTTACTTTCCAACTGTTCGTTGGAGTATTAGGTTGTTAGTGGTAGGGTTGTCACGATACTAAACTTTTCAACTCGATACCGATACTAAGTAAAATATTCGATACTCGATACCCTTTTCGATACCACAAGAATAAAAACAAAGA